AGGAATGGCATATATATATCTTGATCAGGCTAGCCCTTCTTGTCCTGAAAATACTTTTATTCCTGCCCATCATGTTAAAACTTATCTTTAACAACATCAACATATTGGCAGCCAAAGTACATGGATTGAACCTGAAAATAGACCCCCAGATAGAGTCATTAAATTAATAGGCTGGCAAGCCAAGGATGGGTAAAATTCTGCACAGAGCCTTACCAACCTAAGACAGAAGTGCATTGCCTTTGATAATGCATATTCCATTGATGAATAAGGAAGGCATTCTTGCCAGAACGACCTAAGACAGGCTCAGTCTTATTAACGAATAAAAAAAGTGGGAGAGGTGGTGAGCCTTTGGGGCTGCTTGTCAAGAAGCTGACGTGGGCCAAGGACAAGAAAATGGGCTGCTTGGTAGGAATATGACATTGGCCAGGGACAAGGAGGTAGGCTTCAAGCAGGAATCTGACATTAGACTAGAACAAAGAAGTAATCTCAGGAAGAAATCTAAATATTAGGCAAGAACAAAGAAGTAATTACAGACAGGAATCTAAACTTTAGGCTAGAACAAGGAAGCAGGCTTCAGACATGAAAATGACCTTGGGCTAGGATAGGGAAGTAGGCTCAGTACTTTGGTCATCCTGATAAGCCTTTAGAAACAGTGATCATGGGAGTATTCACATAACTGGGTTTAATGCCTTGCTTGTTGTTTGACTATTTGTGTTTATTGTATTGCTAGACCCTCAACCTAGAACTGACCTTAATACATACATGTAATTAAAATGGTATAAAAGCATAAAGGAAGAGGGGTATAGGATAGGGAGTTCTAGGGAGGGGAAATGGGAAAAGGGGATGACATCTGTATTGTAAATAAATAAAATATCCAATGAAGAAGAGTAAAAAAAATTTAAAAAAAATGATAAAGAGGAATGGAAAAAGATCCCTGAATAAAGTCAGGGGTAGAAAATGGTGTGACATTGTCATTAGAATACTTCCTGCTGATTAGAGGCATCTAGTTCCTTGAGGCAAGTTTGATCTTTGCTAGCAGAATATCTAATTTCTTGTTGTTTCTTTTTATGCATGAGTACTAAACAAATTGTTACCAACAGCCAATAATCAACTAACAACCCATTACCTCTCGGGGCCTTTGAAAAGCATCTATATACCCTTTGAAAAGTCCCCAGAATTCCAAAGTCACACAATTGCAGAAACTATCTGGTATAAACAGACCACTACAAGAGCAACAGGCAAATCACAGTCAGCTTCTACAGACAATCAGAAGTAGCACCACATCCTGACACCTGGGATGAAAATGAAAACATATTCTTAAAGTATTTGTTTTTTAAAGCAACCAAAAAACTCCAAAACTTCCACTACACATACCTTCATCTTGTACAAAAATCCACTCAAAATGGATCTTTTTTTTAGTTTAAAGATTTATTTATTTTATGTATGTGAGAACAATGTAGCTATCTTCAGACACACCAGAAGAGGGCATCAGATCCCATTACAGATGGTTGTGAACCGCCATGTGGTTGCTGGGAATTGAACTCAGGACCTCTGAAAGAGGCAGTCAGTGCTCCTAACCACTGAGCTATCTTTTCAGCCCCAAAGTGGATCTTAGAACTTAATTCAAAATCTCAAACTCTCAATCTGCTGAGGATATAAGGAATACTCTTTAAGATTTTAGGGTGGGCAAGACTTTTCTGAGTAGAACCCCAATAGCACATTAATTGTGTCAAGAATTAATGGATAAGACTACATGAGATTTTAAACATTTCTGTAAAACAAAGGAAACTATGAACAAACAGCCCTCAGACTGATAAAAAATCTTTACCAACTATTCTTTAAACAAGAGAATAGCCAGAATTTACAAAGAACTGCAAAAAATAACACCACAAAACAAAACTGACAATCAACAAATGGATTAATGAAATAAACCAATAATTCTTAAAAGAAGAAACACAAATGGTCAATAAATATATTTTTAAGCTATCCAACACCATTAAAATTTCTCGAGATACCATTCACCCTAGTCAGAATAGCCATGATCAATAGATAATAAAATGAATATTGGAATAGATGTGGGGAAAGAAGAACCCTCAATCAACGTTGGTGGGAGTGAAAATTAATCCAGCCATTATGCAAATCAGTTTGAAAGTTTCTCATGACATTACAAATAGACATATAACACATCTGTACCATTCCTGTGCATATAACGAACGAACTGCATACCCTGCTACAAAGACATTGATATACCATGCTTATTGTTGCCCTATTCATGAAGACAAGGATATTGAATCAGCATAGATGTTTATCAGCAAATGAATGGATAATGAGATATATGTAAGATTATTCACATGTAAGAAAATGAAATTTGCAAGAATATTTATAGACCTAGAAAAAATAGTATTAAGCACTGTGATCCAAACTCAGAAAGAAAAATGTTCTCCCTCATATGCGGACTCTGGCCTATAATGTATTTATATACAGAATCAAGTCTAAGTGTGGGCAAAATCTAAAACTTTTAAGGGATCAAGAGAAGGTAATATTATGTTATGAGAAAGGATGAAGTACAGGTAAAAAGATACATTAAAGTAAGCGTAAGTCTAATGTCTTCTAGTTTCAACTATATTTTCTGATGGATATATAATTTCAACTTTCTATGTACCAAAGCAGGAATAACTATTTTTATATTCCAAAATAATGCATGTATTATTCCTTTAACACAGTGACTCTGAAAATTGTACTTTCATTTTAATTCCATTGTTCAACAGGAATTAGCCATGACTAGGCATTGAATGTATTTGTCAGACTGACACATTTAAAACAGTTAATTTTAAAGAATGTTCTGAGATTTAAATCTAAGACTCTACTGCTAAAGACAGCATGCACTTCGGACACAGGACTTGGGGAAATCCAGCTGGAGCTAACCTGGAAGCCTCCCCCTTGAGGACTCTCTCTTACTGTATCTCAAGGTACTGCCAAGGGAGTAACTTCTGGCCCACTTTAATAGGAGGAAATTCATAGCTGGCAGTATAATCCTAGTCAGCTATCTGTTGTTAGTGAGGTCATGAACCCTAAAGGAAACATCACTATTGCTACATTATTAAACCAGTGTAAATTCCAGCTGCAGTCTAAACATCTGTCCTTACATCTAGAATCCATTTAACTCTCACTCCTTGTAAAAGAGGCTTCTTTTCTGCTGCAGATGGAGACTATCCCATAAAGCCACAACTGGTCAAAATGCAGAGAACAACTGCCTATCGGGCACACATCTGATACAACACAACCCCTACCTCAAATGATAAAGAGAACATTGTGGAAGTGAGGGCAGAAGGATGGTAAGAGCCAGAGGACCATGACATCTGCTATGAGACAGTGTCCTCTATATATGACAGGCAAGCTGCACTCTTTAGATCTCAACAATATGACTACTTCATCAATTGTGTAAGAGCTGCACAATGACAACCAGGTGACACCATCATGGGGAGGGTACTCTTACAAGCCCCAAACGGTCACAGGAAGAGCGACAGGTGATGAATGGCTGTTAGGAGGTGAAGGGTCAGCCTTCTCCGGGGTGAATGTATATGCATATGAGCACCACTAATGGACTCAGCAGGTTGTGTTTGTGTGTTTAATTTTTAAAAGGTTGTAAGGTTGAGAGGAAGGAAAGAGACATGGAAGAAATTATATAGTACTCATGAATGGAATTCTCAAAAAATAATAAAATAGATGCAAATAAATCTCAACTGGGAGAAGGGGTTTGTAACCCTTAAGTTTTTCCCTTCCTTATTCTGCTTAAAATTCTATCAAATCATTCTATACAGTGTTATTTAATGAGCATACGGTATCATGATAATAAAGTATGTTTTAAAACAAAAGCAAAGCAAATGCAAAGCAAGGAGAGTTCCCTGTGCATGTGAGCATGTGTGAGCACATATGTATACAAGAACATGAAACTGAGCTCTCAGATTCTTTGGTAATAGCTACATACACGTGTTGACACAGAACAAGTCATGGAGACAGATGAGGGGTAGCTTAGAGGGGCATGAGAAACTCTTACATGGAGTTTCTTGTCTCCTCAGATTCCATTTCCTGAACAGCAACAGGAGCTCCACGGGGGTCTTCAGTTTACAGTGATTCCTTGAACTGTACCTTATTTTACCTTAAAAGGTAAAACTAAGAGACAATTTAAAAACCCTCTTGTTAACTGGTAAATACTTATCTGTTACTCTAAATGTTAGAGTGAAGAGAGCTGATGAGTAAGTGGAACAAACATGTCCAGGAACATTTATCAAAACACTTACTAAACTGTAGTCTGTAACTTCACTGGCTAGAAACGATGGAGAGTTTGCAAATCCCTAAGTGGTAGATTTTTCAATTGGGCACCAGTGCAGATGCAGGACCCAGACATCTGTGTCTTGGTAATGTTTCTCATTGATTATGATACTCAGATTTTATATCCCGAGCTATGCCAAAGAGGGTAAGTGACCTAGAAATGGTATAAGAGCCGTACCATAAGACCCCCTAGCCTTCTACTATACTTACAGCCCAAAGCTACCAACCAGACAAGTTTTACAATAGATTTCAGACTTCTAACACAGTTTTAGTATATGTACTAGTTATCAAATGAGAGAAGACCATAAATTTGCAGAGTATTCAAGTGCCACTCCCTTACCTGATGGCCTCACTTACTATTACAGTAATACAGGGTCCAAACAAGCCTTGATCTATAATCTGTTTTTGCTTCCTAAGTGCTAGGATTACTAGGGATGCCACCATACTGGTTTCTGCCTATCAGTTTAAAAGATGATGAAATATGTATTAGTGACATGTCACCAGTATCTAGAATTCAAGTCTGCCTTTTTCAAATTGGGAAATCTGACTGGATTTTCTGCCCATGACTATTAATTGATAAGTTCAATATGTGACAGATATTGAGTCCTTAGTTTTCAGTGTTAGTTATTTTTGTATGTCAGAATAACTGTGAAGAAAAGAACACTGGATATGTTAATTAAAGTGTCCATATTTAATAGGAGTACAATTAATAGTCTGTTAAAAGGGGAAATTAGGAATACTTTTTAAGAAACAACAATTTCAGGTAGGCAATGGTGAGGAAGATAACAATCATACAAGCCAGGGCCACATGATTCCTCCACAGTCCCCAGGGTGACAGATCGATGCCCTGATTTATCAAGTAGTCATTACCAGTACATCTGAAATTGGAAATACACAAAATTAACTTCAGTTCTAGCATCTGTCAAATATTAATCAATATATTGAGCATTTCTTTGTTACATAAACCTATTGCTTAGCCAAATAAATACTTTACAAGATGCAAATAATTTACAAGATGCTATGCTAAGGAACTTATACCTAATTAAGTTTAGTCAATCCTAAAACAGTATAAACAAGTTTAATTATTAAGTAGTTTAACAAATTTGGCCATGTTAACATAGTCTCACTTTGAACTCAGTTTCTTGCCTCCTCAGAGTCATTAATGTTAAACCTACAATGCTTCTGCCTACGGAGGGCAGAAACACTTCATCAACTGCGTTTAAAGCAAAGACCTCAGCTGTAGCCACACCAGGCACAGCTCGCCCACAAAGTGAAGGAAACAGGTCAGAACGCTGCACCTGTCAGGAAGGGACCAAGAGCTGTCAGCCAGTCATGTCTGTCAGCTCTCACACGGCAGACACTCAGCTAGAGGACACTTCCGACAGCCTTAGACAGTAAGTAGATCAGAGCAGGACAGAGTGGCCCTAACAGTGAATCTACCCAATGTGGCTGCTTGTCCAGTGCATGGTGGGATTCAGCAGCTCCCACCACAGCCATCCCTCTCTGCTGTAAGAGCAGGTTTAGGTTTCTCCTTCTTGTAACTATGAACCTGATGTAAGCATGAAGCCTGCCATGTCTCCTCCTTCTCTGTACCACTTTTCCAGTCCACTCCCTCCTGACCAGCAGGAAGGGAAAGATGCCACACCCACTCAAACCCAAATGAAGTGGGCACACAAAGAGAAGCTCAGGGAAAAAAAAATTCTCTTCAGAAGTTTCTCTGGTCACAACCAAAAATAGAAAAATCATCCTATTATCAGCAATTATTTCTACAACTGAAAGTCCAGGAGATCAGCATTCTTTTTGTTCATTAATTTCTGTATTAAAAATCAAAGCATTGGGATCCAGTTCAAGGGGAGGTCCCAAGGCCTGACACTGTTACTGAGGCTATGGAGCTCTCATAAAAAGGGACCTATCATGACTACCCTCGGGAAGACCCAACAAGCAAGTGAAAGAGTCAGATACAGAAATTTACACCTAACCAATGGACAGAAGCTGCTGACCCCTGTGGTTGAACTAGGGAAAGGTTGAAAGAAGCAGAGGAGGAGGGTAACCCTGTAGGAGGACCAGCAGTCTCAACTAATCTGGACCCCCAAGATCTCTCAAACACTGGACCACCAAAAAGGCAGCATACACCAGCTGATATGAGGCTCCCAACACATATACAGCAGAGGACTGCCAGGTCTGTGTTCAATCAGAGATGATGCAACTAACCCTCAAGAGACTGGAGGCCCCAGGGAGTTTAGAGGTCAGGTGGGGTGGGGGATGAGAACAGCCTCATGGAGACAGAGGGGTAGGTTGAAGGTATGGGTTGTGGAACAGTCGGAGGGTGGAATAAGATCTGGAGTGAAAATACATACATACATACATACATACATACATACATACATACATACATACATACTCAAACTATTAGCAATTATTATAAAAAGTATTAACATTTTAAAATAAGGTCATCTAATTTATTAGAACCTGAATTCTATTTTAATTTTTGAAAGAATGCATGTTCTTTTAGGGAGAGCTTCTATTCTATTTACACACACACACACACACACACACACACACACACAAGCACACACACAAACATGGCCCTGTCTTCCATGATGTTCCTAAAGCTACTGGGGCAGAACAATGTGACAGGGTCACAGTGATCTGGAACTCTATTCTTGTCCTCATTGCCCTAGTGCTTATGACTGTCTTCCACTCTGGGCTCTGGGTTAGAACCCATTCCAGTTTGGAGACCAGAAGTTCTTTCTAAACTATCAAAGCAGCCCATTTATAACCCACAAGTCCTGAAAAGTAAGAATTCAAACCGACATTCAATAAAATAACTAAAGGACTTTTAAAATGTCTCAGTCAGCATACAGGAAGCATTTTCACATTAAATATGGATCTAACTGTGATAAGTTATAGGAGCTGTTCAACATGCTCACATGAATTACTATAAATAATAAAACACTATAAAATAATAAAGAGTCCCTTCACAGACTGAAAAACTGAGGCTCAAAAGTTTGACTCAACCCACCTTTAAGCCCGGCAACTATTTACAGCACACCAAAGTTAAGACTCAAACACACCCTGACACTGAACACAAACTTACATTGTATAGTTAGCACAGTTGCTGTTGAGAGTTTCATTGAGTCCTGGACAAAAGTCCTGTCCCAAGAATTCATTATGCTGCAAAGCCTAGAATACATCAGATCAGAGCAATGTTAATAGTGTTAAATCCCAAAATGTTTCCAAAGAATTATCACAACTATATGCACAAATTTAATCTTTATTGTTATTTCTAAGAGCATGCCAAGGTGCATATGTGTATGCATGTGCTCTCCCACTCGCCCTCTCCCTCCCTCTTTCCCTCCTTCCCTCTCCTCCTCCTTGCCTCCCTCCCTCTCCCCCACCCCAGCACTAAAATAGCTGAAGTTATTTTCTCTGGAAATCAAGAAACGTAGGGTTGGGACGTTGCTTCCAACTGGCCAAGAGGAAAGACCAGTGACGATGTCAGAGCACCCTCATCCTGATTTTATAACCCATGAAATCTATAATTAAAATAAAATGATACTCAATGAATAGTGTTGATTTATAGTAACAATCTTTCCTTGTTTTCATAAAACTGCAATTATGAAAATCAGAACATTCATTACACTGAGTTAAGATGCAGCTGTTCTTTTTGTATCTGACTAAGCCAATACAGTTGCCGAGTATTCCAGGCTAGCTCTCTTCAGATTTGTTTCAATGTAAACTATGTATAATAGTCCTCTATCCTCTCGTTTACTTTCATACTGAACAGAAACAAAATACTTTTCATCAATTAGTAAACCTTTCTCCCTTTTGTGATTTCCCCTCACTCTTCATGTCCCTCCAATAATGGTGTGACTATGAAAATCCCAGATGACTCTTTGACCCACCAATAACAAACACTAATAGGAAATTATCATCCTCTGTCCCTGGAAGGAAACCTTGGATGGTATAGGTTCATACTTGTGGCTAAGGAAATGACATGGTTAGACTTTATTGTACTGTTCCTAGCTCGGGAACAGTCACAGTGACAAACAAGTATAACTTACTGTGAAGCCATATCGAGGAATACTAAAGTACTGAAGCCAGGACAGCCAAGAACCAACGGTTCTGAGATTCACCAAGAGGCCAGAAAAGAGCTGTAAGATGTAAAACCTGCAAGTCAGAACCAGTCCAGTAACTTCATAACTCTAGACAAGACCTCTTTCAAGGCCCCTACAAATAGACAAGTATGACAGTATAAGTCTGTAATCAAAACTATAGAGGTTAAGACAAAGGGTCATTAGTTCAAAGCCAGCCTATGCTACCTGGCATGACTACATCAAAACAAACAAACAAACTCCCCCTCAAATAACCTGCACCTGGTAAATATCTCTGTAAAGACCAAGGCAGTATGAAAACTTCTCAGGTATTGTACCTAACAGTCTTACGTGGCATGTGAGTACTTCTGCAGTGGGTATTTATGGCATTAAAGAAAAGATAATACACCTATCATTAATATTATAGATCAAGTTATTTGAAGATCCTTAATGGTTTAGATTATGTCTTCAATTTTCTGTTTAACTGCAATGGAAGATCAAGAAACACAATCATCCCTTGGTCTCTCAAGGGTGTAGGTGAGGTCCAGGCCGCTAACATAAACTAAATTATGCAGATGTGCAATTCTTTTACTTTTAAGATGGCACAGTACTGTAACATAACCTCCACATAACCTTTACACTTTATTCCTTTTTATTTTGTGTGTATGAATGTTTTGGCTGCATGTACGTAAGTGCACACTGTGCATGCCTGATACTCATGGAGACCAGAGACGGTACTCAACTCCCTGGAGTCACCATCAGCTATAAGCCTCTATGTGGCTGCTGTGGATCAAACCTAGATCCTCAGAAAGAGCAGCCACTGCTTTTAACTGTGAAGCCATCTCTCCAGCCCAGCCTTTACACTTTAAATAGACACATCACAAATGTTCAAAGACTACCCACAGAGAGATTAAAATACCTACTACTACAAAAATTCTAAATAAACAGTTGGTATACTCTATTATTTATGAGTCAATGAGTGAACAGATGAGACAGGGAATCCCTATGTAGTCCTGGCTGGTCTAGAAGTTCCTATGTAAACCGGGTTGACCTCAAACTTATAATAATCTTCTGGACACTGTCTCCTAAATGTTAGGTTTACAGGTATGTCCTGCCATTAATGGAATATAGTGTTCTCTAAGGAATAATGACATATGGGAAAATGATAGACACACATGAGAAAAGTATACATTTTTTTCTCAGTTAAATCTTTTGATATGGACATGGGAGGCAGACTACTAATGCTCCGTCTAATTATCCTGGAAATATAGAACACACTAGAACAATTCAGAGCAAGAATGTTGCTGTACATCCAGACAAGATTTGTTAGTTCCACAATTTACATTCAATAGTCATAGCTCTAGGAATAATTTTAGGGTCAGAATGTAGGTATAAAATAATCTCCAAATTAGAACTGTTAAGAGCATATGGAGATTTACAGCAGAAAACATCACTAATACCTCCCTGTAAGCTATGGGGCTACAGATGGCTCAGTGATCAAAAGAACTTATTACTCTAGCGGACCTGAGTTGGGTACTCAGCACCCATACTTTGTGGATCTCAACCATCTTAAGTCTATCTTGCACCATCTCTGGCCTTTGAGAGCACTGCACTCATCGTAGACTCCACACAGAAGCACATACATTCACATAATTTAAAAATCAAAATAAGTCTTAAGAAAACTAAGACTCCCCCCAAAGCAGAATCACAGTGGAGATACCAGGAATGGACTGCTTACGAAGAAAATAAGCAGAATGAGGTTCTCAAGGCAAGAAGCAGCTCCTCAGAGGAGCACTGTCTGTACTCACCATCATAAATACAAAAGAGATTGTCATGAGAAGTGTTGCTACAGACACCACACTTTGGCCTGCGGCTATGGCCAGTGCCATGGAACTGGCCGTATAAGCCACCATTATAAGAGTAAACATCATGATGAAAAAAGCCTCTGCCGTCTTCTTCAGACCTTGGAAAGAGAAAGGGTTGTCAGTGCAGCTGCTGTGCATTTGTTTTTGTTTGATTGTTTGTTTGTTGAGCAAATAACACTGTAGCCATTATCATCAGAAGTAATGAGAAAGGGTCAATCATCATTCAATTCCTCTGGGTCACCAACTCATTCTCCTATCCTGTGTAACTGCATCAGCTATCAGAGTTTTCCTTTCCATGGTTATTTTAAGAGCACTATTTCAGATAGTACGTGGATTCCTTTACATGGAACTAAGATTAGTTCTGAATCCAGAGATGATCAGCCACAGGAAACACAACAGGCTCCATGACTACTGCCTTCTCACACTCATCTCTCAGTGTTTGCTGTAACTACATTAATGAAGAAACTTGAATCATAATCACATGATCTCAGGCTGGCTTAATATGTAGAGGGGAGGGTTCTTCTATCACCTATGTCTCCACAGACATAAAAAAATGAAATTAAGTTCTCAAACTACTTTATAAACTTTAATGAGATTACGCGTGCAAGCGCACGTACACACATGCACACGCTCCCCCACACGAATGATTGTGTGTCATATAATCTGCAAGAGATGAATATATACAAAGCAAACACTGAGAGATGTAGAGGTGTATAAGTAAATGAATGTTTTCTGTTGGTTGAGATTCCTGAAATGGAAGAAGGCAGTAGTCATGGGACCGGTGTGTTTCCTGTGGCTGTCAGCCTATGGACTCAGAATTATTCTTAGTTACACGCAAAGAAAGCCACAGAATATGTAAAATAGTGGTCTTATATATCATGTGTGTGTGTGTGTGTGTGTGTGAGAGGGGGGGGAGGGAGAGGGAGAGATACAATCTGATGTATCTCTCTTTTAAAACAGTGGCAGGAAAACAGATCAGAATCTAAGGGTCTAGATCCCATCTCATATTCTGTATAATAAACCACATATATAAAACAGAAGTGGTTCTCATGATAGTGCTTTGTAAAAACAGAATGGTATATATGCATGTGCACATGTATCAGTGAAAAATATGGAAATTTTGGTGTCACAATCCTAAGGTTGAAGCATGGGCTTAATGTAAAATTAAATCCATGATTTTTTTCTTTTTAGTAAATAAATAAGCCTCCAAACTCAACATAGGTTTCTTATTAGAGAATATACATTAGAATATGTGTAGTTATTAAAATTCTTAGATGTCTCTGTATAGACACATAGAAAAAGGTATATAAAACTATACAGAGGAATTAGCTTCACTTTACATCTGTGACTACAGGCACTTTCATTTGCCTGTTACTTACCTAACATGAAGTATAATATACAAGTAAATATAACACTTGGCAAGAATCTCATGGGTAGTAAATCAGACATAAGCTTTCCAAAGAAGTAAGAAGATACTCTGTAATATCCACTGATATACTCGTGTCTATAAAAACACAGAACACAGATCCATGTTAGTCTAGAAGGCACAGAACAGAAGACTGCTTGCCTGCTGCACCACTAGATTTCTAGTAAGGCAGCTTCCCACATGCTCCAGGCTGAACCCCATGTCTTCTGCCATCTTAGGTGTCAACTCTTGAGCTCTCAGCTTCAGGAGGCTCTTCTTAGACTGTGGCCCTCCCTCATTTCACTACTTCCTCTGGCTGTTGTGCACTCCAGCATCTGAAGACACTACTCTGGAGAAACAGTCTGTGTGGACTTGTTCTGCTCAGAGACTGCTTTCTCTGATGCTGGGTTCTTCTGGAGAACTGGACCTCAGAAGTTCATCTCCAGGTACGGAGATTCTTCAGCTACGCACTACATAGAAGATGAAGCTGTTCACCGCCAAGGTCCTCAGTGCACCTTCAGCTCACAGCTCTTTTAGCTTACACTACTCTCATTTTTTTTTTAAAAGCAAAACTTCTTACAAAAGTCATACTGTACAATGTTATAGCATTTCCAGATTCCAAATCTAATCTCTCCTCTTCCTGACCTCTTTCTCTGGTTATTCTAAACTCTTCCAATAATTTTGTTCCTTTGCTCTCTATTGGTTCATTTTGTTGGCAAATATAAAGGTGAGAAAAAGTTCTCCAATCTTTGAAAAACACAGGAAAAAGAACAGCCAGCTCCCTGCTGTGAAGCTGGCTCTTTCCAGGCCTCTGCCCACCAAGGCTTGTAGTTGCTCTCTGCCCTACTGACCCACTTCTAGCTAATGAACCACCTAACTCCTCTGAAACCTCATATCAATCTGTGACTAACCAGAAGCAGATACTTTAAGCCCTGCTGTTGTGCTTTCTCTCACAGCACCGAGGTTTCCAAACCACAACCCAGACTTGAAACTCTTCTCTCTGGCTAGCAGGCACCATACTTTCTTAACTTTTTACCTTCCCTGGGACTGCCTTTTCTTAATACTGTAATCCTATGCATTTTTAAAAATCCATATTGTGTAACACAAATATATACACATGCAATTAAACGGATAATTAAAAGACACTGATAACTCTAGGATAGTATTTTGACCCAATTGTAGATATGGCCAGTTTGAAATACTCACATGAAGAGTTTCTTTTCCACTACGAAGAGCTCCACAGCTGACACACTGGAAAAACACTGGTTGGTAGTCAGGAAAAATAAAACCCCAGCTCTGCCAGGACAGAACAGGAACAGAAGTACTTGTCAACTCTGGGTACTTAGGCCAGCAGTCTACAAATGATATGACACTAACACATCTTTTTTAAAAATAAAACTGTTCTGGTTAACAGAGAGAGGTCCTGGGGGCTTAGCAAGTATAGGTGGTAACCTAAGCTCAATCCTCAGTAGCACCATGAAAGAGCTGACCCTGCAAGTGCACCACGGCACATACAAGTACATGCACATATGTACATATGCACAGAGAAGGCAGAATGACTGCCCACATACACACCAGCATCAGGTCCCTCTGCAGTGTCTCTGGCCTATGGTGGCTCTACTTACTGCGTGTTACAGCACACACTCAAGTTCTTGGCCTTGGATTGTTGTGAACTGAAACTGTGCTGTTCCCATAAAATTCCTGTTGAGGCAATGACTTCCTAATATGACAGTATGGGAAGCATATTTTAGGACATGTCCAACTGTGCCCTGGCACGCAGCAGCAGACGGCTATCAGTGCAGCCTGTACTATCTAATTTTAACTGTCAAGTTGATATACACTAGAATCACTTGGGAAGAGTCTGAATGAAAAGTCATCCAGGCCAGCGGCCTCTAGGCATGTTTGTCAAGGACTATCTTGACAGTTGACTGAAGTGAAAAACTTCCCCTAAATGTGGGCGGCTCCATTTCACGGGCTGGGCCCTGGCATGTACAGGAAAGAGAACGCTTCCTGAGTGGATCCCACAGAGATTCCTGCACTAATTCTCCCTCTGCCAGCTGAGTCCAGCAGGCAGAGATCCCTGTGCTTACTCTCTTTGCTTTGACAGGAGATTTGATGCTTTAAGTTCTGGCATTGACCTTCCTAAAATAATGTGGACAGTAACGCAGAATCCAAATAATCTTTCTTCTCAAAGTTGCCTTTTGGTCAGGGTATTTTATAACAGCAATAAAAAATAAGACGAGGAGGTAGCCGAACATAAAATTGTGAAATTACTTAAAAACTGGGAACTAAACTCAGGGCCCTAAAAGTGCAATAAGTGTTCTTAATCTCTGAGCTACTGCTCCAGCCCTCAACAGTGTACAAGGCCCTCAGCCTCCAGTTCCTGTGTGGCTTAATGATCATCTCATTAGATGCTGAGAAAGTATTTGACAAACTTCAACATCCCTTCATGGTAAAAGTCTTGGAAAGATCAGGAATCCAAGGCCCATACCTAAACATAGTAAAAGCAATATACAGCAAACCAGTAGCCAACATCCAACTAAATGGAGAGAAACTTGAAACAATCCCACTAAAATCAGGGACTAGACAAGGCTGCCCACTTTTTCCCTACCTATTCAATATAGTACTGGAAGTCCTAGCCAGATCAATTAAACAACAAAAAGAAGTCAAAGGGATACAAATTGGAAAGGAAGAAGTCAAAATATCACTATTTGCAGATGATATGATAGTATACTTAAGTGACCCCAAAACTTCCACCAGAGAACTCCTAAACATGATAAACAACTTCAGCAAAGTGGCTGGTTATAAAATCAACTCAAACAAATCAGTAGCCTTCCTCTACTCAAAGGATAAACAGGCTGAGAAAGAAATTAGGGAAGCAACACCCTTCACAATAGTCACAAATAATATAAAATACCTTGGTGTGAATCCAACCAAGCAAGTGAAAGAGCTGTATGATAAGAACTTCAAGTCTCTGAAGAAAGAAATCAAAGAAGATCTCAGAAGATAGAAAGATTTCCCATGCTCATGGATTGGCAGGATTAATATAATAAAAATGGCCATCTTGCCAAAAGCAATCTACAGATTCAATGCAAGACCCATCAAAGTTCCCACTCAATTCTTACAGATAGAAAGAGCAATTCTCAAATTCATTTGGAATAACAAAAACAAAACAAAAAAAACAAACAAAAAAACAGGATAGCGAGAACTATTCTCAACAATAAAAGAACTTCTGGGGGAATCACCATCCCTGACCTCAAGCTGTACTACAGAGCAATAGTAATAAAAACTGCATGGTATTGGTACAGAGACAGGCAGGAAGATCAATGGAACAGAACTGAAGATCCAGAAATGAACCCACATACCTATGGTCACTTGATCTTTGATAAAGGAGCTAAAACCATCCAGTGGAAAAAGAACAGCATGTAGAAGAATGCAAAAAGATCCATTCTTCTCTCCTTGTATAAAGCTCAAGTCCAAGTGGATAAAGGACCTTCACATAAAACCAGATACACTGAAACTAATAGAAAAGAAGGTTGGGAAGGACCTCCAGTACTTGGGCACAGGGGAAAAGTTCCTGAACAGAACACCAATGGCTTATGCTCTAAGATCAAGAATTGACAAATGGGACTTCATAAAATTGCAAAGCTTCTTTAAGGCAAAGGACACTGTCAATAGGACAAAACGGCAACCAACAGATTGGGAAAAGAGTTTTAACAATCCTACATCTGATAGAGGGCTAATAACCAATATGTACAACGAACTCAAGAAACTAGACTCTAGACAACCAAATAACCCTATTAAAAATGGGGTACAGAGCTAAACAAAGAATTCTCAACTGAGGAAACTCTAATGGCCAAGAAGCACCTAAAGAAATGTTCAACATCCTTAGTCATCATAGAAATGCAAATCAAAAAAACCCTGAGATCCCACTTCACACTAGTAAGAATGGCTAAGATCAAAAACTCAGGTGATAGCAGATGCAGGCAAGGGTATGGAGAAAAAGGAACACTCCTCCATTGTTGGCAGGATTGCAAGCTGGTACAACTACTCTGGAAATCAGACTGGTGGTTCCTCAGAAAATTGGATATGGCATTACCTGAGGACCCAGCTATACCACTCCTAGGTATATACCCTGAAGATGCTCCAACATATAACAAGGACATATGCTCCACTATGTTCATAGCAGCCTTACTTATAATAGCCAGAAGCTGGAAAGAACCCAGATGGCCTTCGACAGGGGAATGGATACCAAAAAAAAAAGGTATGTTTACACAATGGAGTATTACTCAGCTATTAAAAACAATTAATTCATGAAATTTTTAGGCAAATGGATGGAACTAGAAAATATCATCCTGAGTGAGGTAACCCAAACACAAAAGAATACACATGGCATGCACTCACTGATTATTGAATATTAGCCCAGAAGCTTGAAATACCCAATATTCAACTCACAGACCACAAGAAGCTCATAAAAAGGAAGACCAAAGTGTGGGTGCTTCACTCCTTCTTAGGAGTAACAGAATACACAAGAGAACAAATATGGAGTCAAAGGGTGGGCCAGAAACTAAAGGAGGGACCATCCAGAGACTGTTCCACCTGGGTATCCACCCCATGTGCAGTCACCAAAGACAGACACTGATGTGGATGGCAGGAAGTGCATACTGACAAGAGCCTGATATAGCTGTCTCCTTAGAGGTCTGCCAGAGCCTGACAGAGGAGTATACAGAGGAGGATACTCACAGCTAATCATTGAACCTATCATGAGGTTCCCAATGGAAGAGTTAAGAGAGAAGACTGAAGGAGCTGAAAGGGTTTAAGGCCCTACAGGGAGAGCAACAATACCTACCAACCAGAGCTCCCAAAGTCTAACCCACCAGCCTGGGAGCACATAGGGAGGGACCCATGGCTCCAGCTGTATATGTAGTAGAGGATGGCCTTGATGAGCATAGGTGGGAAAGGAAGTCTTTGGTCCTTCGAAAGCTGGATGTCCCAATGTGGGGAATTCGAGGGTGAGGAGGTGGGAGTAGGAGGGTGGGTGGGGGCACATCCTCACTGAAGCTGGAGGAGGGGGGATAGGATAGGGGATTCTGGGTATGGGGGAAATAGGGAAAGGGGATAACATCTGAAATGTAAATAAAATATCCAATAAAGAGGGAAAAAAAGAGAAATGGCACCCACAATAACCACCAATTGCTAGCAATTTTGGAAACAGTTTTGCTATTTCAACCTTCAAGGAAAGTAAAAATATAATGACATATATATCTAAAAATAGCTCTCTAGAATAATGTTAACTGACTTTATACAGAAAGAAAACTTATTTGATCTGAATGATAGACTTTCATGTTGATTCTTTTGAAAGAAATCAGCCTTTTCCAAATGTGAAATAAATTTAACTGTCTTTCATGTGAAATGGGAATAATACGATTTATCCACTCTGGCCTCCAGATGGTAACCTGAGGCTACGGATGCCAAACCCTGAGTTAAATCTCAGTAGAAAACTGTGATCCACAATACATGAATCATGACAGGAATTATGACCCTGAGATCAGTGCTACTACTAAGCACATATACACACTGCATGACACAGCAAAATATCTCATTGGAAAGCTGGCTTCAGTACCATGTACTTTTTAGACTCAGCTACTTGAGAGGCTAAGGCAAGAAAATCAATTATCTCCAGATTACAAGTTCAAGCCAGCCTGGGAATCATGGTAAGACACCATTTCAAAAAAAGAAAAAAATTAAGTTATTATGAAAACAAAATTTTCAAGGATGTGCTAGAGAGATGTCTCAGTGGTTAAAAGCACTTGCTGTTCTTCCAGAAGACCTGGGTTCAATTCCCAGCACCCACATGGCAGCTCACAACATCCGTAATGCCAGTTTTGAACAATCTGACACCCTCTTCTGGCATCTTCGGCACCGGGTATACATCATGTGCATGGATGTGTATACAGTCAAAACACCCAGACACAGCCAAGTCTTTAAAACACATTCAAAATATAATTATGACTGAATCTACATATATTAAAGAGTTAACATAAACTGATTCCCACACATGTACTCAGCTTCTAAGTCAAATAAATTAAAACATTCATAAGCAACAGAAAACAAACAATATCAAAATCAAAACCATGCATATATCAACAGATACTACTAGCAGAGAGAATTCCTAACAGAATTAGAGAAAATACTTATAAAACTCTTACCTGATAAGGACAGATAGCCCAGATAAATGAAGGATTCTTAAAACCCAACAACAAATTTTTACAAAACAGACAAAGGATTAAAATATGTATTTCAAAAAGATTAAATTGATTTTAATTATTATAAATAAATGACAAATATTCATGATACAGAAAAACTGTAACACCTGTGTGTAACAGCCAAGAATGTAAAATGGTAAAGCTGTTATGGAAGATAAATCACAATTTAGCAATTTACTGGTAAGGTTCCTGTGAGAATTGAAAGCAGGAATATAAAATGTACTTGTAGAATCATATTATTCACAACTAAAGGGTGGAAGCAACACAAAATTTCAGGAACAAGTAATTGGATAAACCAGATAGATAGATAGATAGATAGATAGATAGATAGATAGATAGATAGATAGATGATAGATAGATAGATAGATAGATACAGATAGATAGAAAGAGACAGACAGATGACACACAAGCCCACACTGTGAACTAAATCAGCCTTACAAAGGCAAGTCTCACTGACTAGGCTGCAAAATGGATTAAGAGATTACACTAAGGGAAATAAGTCAGTCATCAAAGGACAAACACTTATGACACCACATAATGTAAGTCTCTACAGCAGTCAAATTTAGAGACACAAAGTAGGATGGTACTTCCCAGAGGGGAGATGAAGTGGGCACTGAGTAATTACTTAACGGATATGGTGGGTGCATTGAGGAAACTGCTCATCTGCAGTTGGATGTTGTCAACAGACACAGTAGTGTGAATGTCATTAATGCCACTCAAGTACATACTTAAAACCGGTTACAAGGATGTATTTATTTTTGTATGGTTACATCAATACATACATATTTGTGTGTATGAAAAAGCCAACTCTGACAGTTTTCAATTCACCAACTGATGGTTTGTATATGCTTGGCCCAGGGAGGGGTACTATTAGGAGGTGTGGCCTTGTTGGAGTAGGCATGTTACCGTGGGCATGGGCTTTAACACTCTCCTCCTAGCTGCCTGGAAGCCAGTCTTCTGTCTACCTTCCAAACAAGATGTAGAACTCTCAGCTTCTCCTGCACCATGTCTGCCTGTACACTGCCATGCTCTTGCCTTGATGATAATGGACTGAGCCTCTAAACCTGTATTAAATGTTGTCCTTTATAAGACTTGCCTTGGTCATGGTGTCTGTTTACAGCAGCAAAACACTAAGACAAGAAGTTGGTAGCAGGGACTGGAATGTTGCTGTGATAGGCCTGAATATGCTTTTGTTTGGAAGAATGTGGATTTGTGGATTTTGGGATTTTGGAATTGGAAAGCCATGGAATATTTTAAATGGGGCTTCATGAGCCAGCATAGTAGGAATATGGAAGACTTTGTTGCTGTGAGTGATTTGAACTGTGAAGCCCAGGCCCAAGAAGTTTCAGTGGAGAACTTCAGAATGTGGCCTAGAGATTGTTTTTGTGGTATTTTAGTGAAGAATGTGGCTACTTTGTGACCTTATCTGAAGAGTCTACCTGAGGCTAAGGTAAAGAAACTCAAATTAATTGCATTGACAAAGTAAGACTCAGAAACACCCAGCATAGCCTTTGTTCTTTAGTTAAGTCTCAGGAAGCATGTTCTGAACAACTGTAGCAAGCTCAGAAAGGAAAAATATATGGTTGGAGTATTGAAGGGGCACCAGGAAGTAGAATGAACCTGAATCCTTTATTCTAGGAGATAAACAGATTAATGGAGTGGGAATTTGGGGCCAGATTCCACCTAGCTAAGTTCAGTTCCAAGTATAGTGGTTCACACCTTTAATCCCAGGAGACAAAGCCAAGCATATCTCTGAGTTTACGACTAACCTGGGACATGGCAAGTTCTAGGTGAAGACAAGATTAAGTTCAGGTGTGGTGGTACACATCTTTAGTTTGAGACAGAGCCGAACAGATCTCTGAGTTCAAGGTCAATCTGCAGAGCAAGTGCCAGGACAGACAAGCAAATTAGAAAACAGAAAACCAGGGGTCCTGTTCCAGCCCCAGCAGGCAGCAGAACTCAGCAACTTCAGCCATGTGACTCTGGCTTTAGCATCAAGAATAGAAGAGACTACGGGACAACTGATGCTGGTTAGCTGAAGCTAAGAGATTAGCCCTGATTAAGAAGAGACCAGCATCTTTGGGGTGAAATCTTCTGGGAAGTGTTTTCTGAGAGCACAAAGAAGCTATGTTCCAGAGATAGTCAAGGGTGTACCTCCTGCTGCAGCTTGACTTGTTAATATGTAAGAATCACCCATGTGGTACTGGTTTTTAAGCATGAAGGCATCAAGGAGAACAGCTGAGGCACTGTGAGTGGCTAGGAGAGGCCATTGGTGAGGGTGCAGCATCAGTTGCAGTTGATGGCCCAGGACTGAAGGGATCATGAAGGGATCATGCAAAGATGTTGACACCTGGCACCATGAAGGGGATCTATGAGAGGCTACTGGTGAAACCTAGCTGCAGTGGAACACCTCGGCATATTGAAGATGCCAGTACCAAGGGATGACCACCAAAAACAGCAACAGCAGTGGAGTGGAGTCAACCAGTGCCTAGAGTGCTACAGAAGGTTAGAACTGGAGATGGGACCCAAGCCCTCTGGAGAAGCCCAGATTATGAGTGGATCCCAGTCATTGGAACAAGAAGCTGGGACGTTGAAGTTGCCTTGGAGATAGACCTCAAGATGTTAAAGATGCTAGAGCCACAGGATACCTGCCAAAGAGGGCGGCTAACAGCAAGTGGAACCAGGCCAGGAGAAAAGAGTTTGTTGTAGTCAATGAAGATGAAAAAGGAGTTGGAGATCTGAAGACACTTTGACATCAGCCATGGAGATGCAGAGTTTCCCAGCTGGTTTCCTGTCTTGCTTTGGGGATTACAATTAAGTGACTGGATGAAGCTCAGATGAGACTTTGAACTCTGAACTTTTAACATTGTTGAGGCTGCTATAGACTATGGGGACTTTGGAAGTTGGACTAAATATACATTTTTATTATGCTATGACTAGGTATGATCCCCATAGACTCATGCCTTTGAACAAGCCAATGAGGGCCAGGGAGTGGAATGTGATGGTCTGTATATGCTTGGCCCAGGGAGTGCCACTATTAGGAGGTGTGGTCTTGTTGGAGTAGGTGTGTCAGTGTGGGCCTGGGTTTAATACCCTCCTAGCTGCCTGTCATGGTGTCTGTTCACAGCAGTAAAACCATACCTAAGATACCAACTCATTTCTACTCACAAAGAAACAGTGACATTTACCCAGAACATTTATTATGTTTAAGTCTTTAATCAATATTCATAAACTTAAAGTAACAGTTCATCATCAAAACTAAGATCCAAGTTTGGTTGTTTTTCCTCTAGAATAGACTTCTATACCTCTTGTCGAAAACATATGTTCTATTCTTCTGCTCAGAATTAATCCATGCTAATTTTTATCCTACAGAATGGGGATTTACTTACCTATTTTGCATTCCAGCGGAATCATTTTTCAGATCAAAGTAAATGGCACCAATAATCAGCCCCAGTATGACTGTAACAATTAACTTTTCAAAAAGAAAAACAAAAATAAAAGAATTTTCATTAGAGGTTAAAATGCTTGCATATTATTTATTATTTTAACATACATGTATAAAATTCAATCTCATAAGCACTTTAGACACTTAATTACAATAGGTTCCTGATAAAATATGGAATGGTATATGTTACTAGACTGCTTTCTAGATTAAGCTGAAAATCAAAGGATTTACTGTCAGGGAACTGACAAGTCAGCTCAGTAGGCCCTAAGATCTACCACTCATGGCCAGTGGATCTACCACTCATGGCCAGTGAAGTCCCAGGTGAGACACTGGATCCACGTACAGTACATAGGGCAACCTCAAGAGGTTGTTTACAGAACAAACCAAAGTCCAAGAGTCTAAAAGTTTTGAACTGAAATGAAGTAAGCTTCCTGCTAATAAACAAAAAGTTTTCCATAAGAGGTTCAAATGAAAGCATGATATCTTTTCTGTTAATGATAAAGATTTTTAAAAAAAGCATACAGGCACAAATTCTGACAATGGAATTTTGGATTCTAAGGAAGAAAGAGTGAATGGGCCCTGGAGAGTCCATGGCTCCTGTATGGGAATGTAAAGTGTCACTGTCACAACAAACAAACAAATCCATCCATCTTGTTTCTCTGGGCGTATCCAAGCTTCCATCACCTGTCGCCTCTCTCACCTTGTCTCCATCAACATCAGCAAGCTATGCGCCTATGGTCACCACAACACACCTGAGTTTCTAATTCTCTACATCCTCACATACACACCCATCTTCGCCTACTCAATTTGTGCAGACTGCTCCCAAGGAGACTGCACCACGATCATTTTGGAGAAATCTTCTTTTAAGGATGATTCAAGCAGTAAGGGGTGTAGTTTGGAATTTACTCTGAAAATTATACTTTACTTATATATGTGCAAACTATGTATTGATAAAGCTTTCAAATTTATTTTAAAAGCTCGGCCTGCTTATAAAAGTGGTAATAATATTATTTATCTAAAGGATTCTATTTATTAATATATTATCCACAGGTAATTTTTAAAATGTAAGAAATATTTATTTATATATCTTAGATTTTCAAAGCTCAAAAAATCTTAATACTTTAATAGTATCAAAATATAAAGTACAGCTTGAACAGAACTAAAACTGGTTATAAGCATACAGTTAATGTTCTATGTAGTTGCATCAATACAAACATATTTGTGTGTATGAAAAAAGCCAAGTCTTCTGGTTCAAAACATGAAGTGCATGCGCGCGTGTGTGTGTGTGTGTGTTTGTGTGTGTGTGTGTGTGTGTGCTCCTATTGGAGCTTGAGTTATACATGACTGTGATTTCTCTGATGAGGGTGATATAATGAACTTTAGTCCTCTGCATGAGAAGTATATGCTCTTTAACACCTAGGGTATCTCTCCTGCATGACATAAAGTAGTTTGTGAAGGCCATATTTGTCAAGAAGCAAGGTAAATTAGAAAAAGAGAATTATGAACTGTGAAGACTGGTTTGGAAATACCATATTCAGGAGAGAATTACAAATCTCTTTAGTATTAAGGTATAGATTTAGGATGGGAAACCCCGTTCTCTTGGTATATTTTTATAACTCCCCTACTTAATCCTATGCAGGCCAAGCTTATAAAATAAATTCTACAAGTTCCATCAATACAAAGTTTGCACATATATAAGAAAGAGTAGTCTTCCAAAATAAATCTTAGGAGTCCTTACTATTCCAAACTACACACTTTACTTTTTTTTTTCTCATTCAAACTCCCTCTACTCACACTGCAAGCGTCACCCTTACAGTGTTTCCTAAAGGCTTCTAAAACCAACTCTAGTCATCTTTGAAACTTACTGTCCAAACTATTAACTCCAATGGGCCTTCCAGTCTTTTACTATGTGTAACTGTTATGATGGCTAGTCTGGGTTGTCAACTTGACATAGCTGGGAAAATGGAACCTCCATTGAGAAACCACCTCCGTCAGAGGACTTATGGACATGTCTGAGAAGCATTTTCTTTATTGCTAGATTATGTAGGAGGGATCATCCCACAGTGGACAATGCCGACCCTGGGCAGGTAAGCCTGAGCTCTATAGGAAAGTCAGGGAGACACGTCATAAGCAGTGCTCCTTCCTCCATGGTCTCTGCTTCCTTCCGAGACATGGAACTCTTCTCCCCAGAGTTGCACTTCACCGTTGTTTTATCACAGCAAGTAGAAAATCAAACTTGAAACAGCTATGCTAAAGTCTTCAATGGAACAAAGGAGCCTTTCTATGAGCTTTTGGTATTTCTGAGTTTTGTAGTTTTGAACAAAATTGTAAAAAAAAAATTTCTTCAAAAATGTTATTGTCTCTTTAGTCAAACGTACTGATCCATGTTTTTAAAGTATGTTCTGAGTGACTGCAGTTAAAAATTGTGAGTTTGAGATAGGCATGGTGGTGCATGTCTTTAATCCCAGCATTTGGAAGTCAGAGGCAGGTGGATCTCAGTGAGTTTGTGGCCAGCTTGGTCTACAAAGGGAGTTCCAGGACAGCCAGGGCTACACAGAGAAACCCTGTCTTGAAAAAGCAAAAACCAAACCAAACTAAAACCAAAACAAAAATAACAGAGTTCATAGTCAGTTCCTAATGACTCTCCAAGATACTCATGCAGCTTACAAATGGTTTTGACCCGAAAACATCAGCATATTAGACTAAATTTTTTTGTACAGTTAACACATTTGTTCTAAGATCTCGAATATAACCACATCTGGTTATATGCCAAATTCAAATTGTGTAAATAACTAACTGGTCCAAACCAAAGTTCAACTAGTTCAAACAAAAGAAAAGATTTATCATTATAACACTATCAACTCAATACCTATAAAATAAAAAATATGCATTATAAAAATCCCTATGCATAGGTCAGTGAGCTGTGGTACAAATGACAAACAGGGCTGACTACACTTCTACTTCTGTAAGCTCAGGAGCTAAGAATGAATTTCACCAAAGTTTACTACTGGGCGAGAGAACCATAAAAATAGAATTACTTACAATTTGAAATTGAAACGTCAGTATCCGTTAACAGAAATACAATGGAGATGATAGAAAGTTATAGAAGGATAAGTAGAAAGTAAGTGAAATCCTGAAACAGATATAATAGTAGTAGAAGAAGGAGAAGACCAGTCAGGTACCAAGCTCCTCCTTGTGAATATTTCATAGCACAATCGGCATTTGTTGGGTTACCTGAGCTACAGAGGCTTGAGGATTCCCGAGCAAGTTTTTAAATGAACGCCTGGCAATCCACCTGAGCTGATGACAGAATGAGGTAACATATATCGGATCTTTGAAGGCTGATGCTCCTTTCTTTTTCTGAGCTACTGGAAGTTGATCTAATTCAACTTTTGTTTCTCCATAGATGGCGGAGTTGATATAAAACTCAGATAAGTTTTCTATTATTGGCTTCTCTTTCTTGGAAGGCTCTTCAGTCTTGTTTGCTTTGGATAAATGTAGATAAAGAAGTGAAATATTAACAATTAACAACAGATTTAACTCATTTTCTATGGTTCCATAATTATATAATCCCTTAATTCTACATTTGCATATATATATAAAAACCACCAGCTGGGCATGTATTGGAACATGGTCAAGGAATAGAGTCATATGAGGAGAATTCTGAGTGCTTGTGAAAACACTCCAAGAAAACAAGACAAGACTGGTGTTGCTATGCAATGCCCCATGTCTGTCTCTCCCTTGGAGTAGCTAGTCCTTGCATACCAGGCTGGACTGGAGAGAGGGGAGCTTAGCTGGGGGAGGGGGAGGGCAATGCAGGATGGAGGAGTATGTGGACAAAGAACACACCTGGCTACAGCTTTGGAGAACTGGTTCATTTATTGGGGCAAAACAGGGTATTTATGCCCCTGGGAAGGTGGCCAGGATCTCTGGGCAAGGTTTGTGTGGCTGTGTAGCACTGACAAGGGCAGGGGTGTTGGAAGAGTCTTCATCTGTATACTCAGGGGCTGCAGGATTGACTGTAGTGAGGTGGGGGGCATCTTATAAGATCAAACAAAGAAGGAAGCCTGATACCTGTCAGGGTAATAAATTCTTACTAGGGTTGACATGGGAGAGTCAGTTTTATGGCACCAGGCTGGGAGAGGGAAGACAGCCAACTCCTGCCATTCTCATGACTGAGGTATCTGGGGTTAAAGCTCTCCTGACCTTTCCTCCATAACCCTGGGCCGTTAAGGTCCCACACCTTGTGACCTTAGTTCCTTCCAAACATGGAATTGTCCTTGGACTATGTTTTTGTGCTTCTCACTGGTCGAGTGGATAGGAGTTTACTTTAGATTACTCATCATTTCTTGCTCTTACTCAACGGAATGTTTAAACTACCCTTTACAGTCCTCTATGGAAAACCATTTTGCCACATGCAGTTTGTCTTCGTGCTTGAGTACAGCCTGAACTCGAGAACTTTACTAATGTGACCTTTCTTAACCTTCAAAGTATGAACTGTCTGAGGCTCTGAATAAAGCTGGCTATTACATGAGACATTAGTCTGCCATATTCATTGGCTCCATTTTCCCAGGTTCCACTGCTTCTGGAGTGGTGAAAGGCACTGTGCAACATGCCTTTAATCCCAGCATTCAACAGGCAGAAACAAATGAATCTCTGAGTCTGAGGCCAGCCTGATCTACATAATGAGTCCAGGCTAGCCAGGGTTATATGGTAAAACCCTCTCAAAAGAATAAAATTATTTACTATAATTAGTTTACATATTAAAAAACCAGCTGAGCAGTGAATAGTTACATCTTATGAATACAGAAAACTCCATTATAATAAATGTACACACACACACACACACACATAAATTTAGACCCTCATTATTTAAACAGACATTATACTGCAAAGAGTTAGAATTCATTTTTAAAAAGATTCTGGTCTTTGCCTTCTATGGATAACGCATAATGTACCGTTTCTTGTTTTTTGTTTGTTCTAAGATAGTATCTCACTATGTAGCCCTGGGTGACCTGAAATTTGCTTTGTAGACCAGACTAGCTTCAAAGGCATGAGCCATTATGTAGTATTGCTTATAAAATACTTTCGATAGCTCATCTTGGTTGTTACCTTGACAAAATGTGGGATTAACTAAAACCAAAGTGCCTGGTACACCTTCGAGGGATTTTTCTTAATTGATTCATTTCAGGTGGGAAGACCAACCCTAAATCTGGATACCGTTTTAGGGTAGGAAGATCTACCTTAAACATGGGCCATATTTTTTGATGGTAGCCTATATAAAGGACATGGAAGATGAAGCTTTTGCTTCTTGCCTGCTTGCCCTCATTGTCACTGGCAAGTTTATCTATCCTGCTGCTGAAGCATTCCTTCACTGGCATTACTGTCTACTCCTTCAGGATTCCAACATACACTGAAGAACAGCTGAGACACCCAGCTTCATACTCAACAACTATTGGATTCTTGGACTTTCTGTTCGTAGACAGCCATTATTGAACTAGCTGGACCATAGCCTGTAAGCCACTCTCATACATCCATTCATACATAAATACAATCTATTGATTCTGTCTTCTAGAGAACCCTGACAATACTATTAAAAAATATCCATTTTTATTGAAAATTTTTCTTAGAACTGATACTTTCAGAAAAACATACAATTTACAAATTAAATTTAAAAAAACACTCATAGCACTTACAGAAAAGTCTGTCTCTTGACTATTTTCACATCACTGGATTAACATGAATTTTAAAGGCATGATTTTTGTTTTAAGGTAGGATCACACTATGTAGTCCTGGCTGGCCTACAAAAGCATGCTTTAATGAGTCACACCACTGTGCTTTAATTGGACAATTAGACACCAATGTGTGAATCTACAAGATTCATGTACCTTCATGGTTTTGTTCCTCTCTATTTAACATCACAGCAGAAGAATCTCCATTGATGACATCAAGGAAGAAATCTGCAGGGTTGTTGTAGGGCTCACAGTGATAACCTACAAGAAAAGGCAATACAAGGACACAAGCTTGATGGTCTTGGAAAAGAGAAAGTGCATTCAGATGAGGGAGGAAAGGCTTCGGAAGACAGAACCATTCTCACTCTCACTTCCCTTCACTAACACACACTTTTCTCAATATACTTAACAAATACTCCAATAATTACAGAGGAATTTTGGACACTTGAGAAACTCTTGCATTGGTGTGTACCATAAATTATGAGCCACAAAGGGCTACTGATAAGCTCTGGTGCTCACTAGTCTTCTGTCCAAGATCTAAATCCAGGTCAAAAAAAAGAGAAAGAAAAAGAAAAAGAAAACATTAACTGTCCTTGTGCGCTCTGACTTCAAGATCTGCACGTCATTGTTGTTTCTTCAGCTTCTAAGTGGAGAGATTCTAATTCTCTTCTGCCATCCTGCCATCATCATTCCAAATAAAGAGCAAGTTTTGGGCAGCATTCTCAAGAGAACATAGATAGTACACTACACTGTAACTGTGGTTTCAACTTTATAGTTCTCTCAAACTGGCCTGAAGTCTGTCTCAAATTCATAGCTACTGAACTTCGCACTTATTTAGGCTCAATTATTTTATTTCTTCTTAAAAAATATTTCTTATGTACATGGGTATTTTGCCTGCACAAATGTCTGTGTACCACATGTGAGCCTGGTGCCTACACAGCCTGAAGACAGGCCATCTCTGTGGACTGGAGTTACAGAAGCTTGGGAGGCACCATGTGAGTGCTAGGACTCAAACTAGGGTTCCTTAAAAGTGAAGACAGTGCTTTTAACCAAGGAAAGCTCACATATTTTAAATGATAGATTTTCTTAAATTAAAAATAATAATGAGTATTTAAAAGTGTATATGAGGTTATAAAGAATCATCTATAATCATAGCCAGGTATCTCTAAAATGAAAAAGATTACATATACTAAATTTAAAAAGAAATTACAGGGTTGGAGAGATGAGCCCTTGTTCTTACAGAGAACCTAGGTTTGGTTCCCAGCACTGGATCTCAGCTCAGAACTATCTGTAACACCAGTTCAAGGGGATACAGTGCCCCATTCTGATCTCTGAGGGCACTAGCTCTATATACGACGCACATAGATACATGTAGACAAAACAATTCATACACATAACAAATGAAGTATATACATCTAAAAAGAAATCACAAATGTCAAAACTGCAGGCTCATCAACGTGAGATTTGAGACTAGTCACTCTAATAATAGGTCACTCAGACCCACTCAGACTAAATAATCAATCTCACATTACAAGAAAGTTAAGCATCATTTCCATGACACACGTCCCACCACCCCCAATTAAAACTGGCAGCTTATGGAAACTGATCTGCCATGTGGTTAAGGAGACACGAATCCTAGTCTTTCCAAAACTGCTCAATTGACCAGACTGCTAGGTGTGAATCTACTCATAACTACTGAGTTTTCAGGGAAAGGCCACCATGACTGGGAAACTGAAGCAGCACAGATCCAGTGGATGGATATTAAGGCACAAATGACCCAGATATTCAAGTAGCACAGGAAAAGTTTAAACACAATGAAGAGAAACACTAACACAAAACTGAGCAAAGGCACTTTAAAATGGAGGAAGCATGGTAAGTTTCACGAAGACTAAATAGCACTCCTGCTAACCCTCTGCTCTATCCACAGTTCTGTGAAGGAAGGATCTACCACATGGAAAACAATCAACTATACCTGCTGATGCAAAGTACTCCAAAGCTTTCTGTGCTGGCCCATGGAACATGAGTTTCCCGGAAGCCAGTAAGGTGAGGCTGTCAAATAGCTTAAATATTGAATACCGAGGCTGATGAATGGAGAAGATGATTGTCCGACCCTGTTTAGACATCCTATATTACAGGAAGAGAAATAATGAGGCATTAAGATTCTGATCCTTCCATTTGTTGGTAAAGAGAACTTTACTCCTTGTGTTAGAACATCTTTCCCAATCTCAACTTGATTTTCTCTTACACACATAATCTACCAGCTCATCCCAAGGTGTATGCTTGAGACCATCATTTCCTTTTACATACCTTTAAGTATCAACTATATGCAAGGAAAACGAAACTTGATGCTTTAGAAAATGAGAGTAGCTACGAGTATATCAGTCTTGGAGATGAGTTGTAAATAAAATGTTTGACATGTGAGAAGCCTTGGCTTTGATCCTTAGAAACAAACGAAATCCAACTCAAACAAATCCTACCAGGATTTCTTAAGAAAGGAACAGCTACAGAATGGATTCCATAAAACATTAAAATGTTTATTGTTACATGCAGACACTGGGACAGTCTTCAAAGATACTGAATCTGAGGAGAATATTTTATATATACATATATGTATGTCTACATATGTATATACACACATAAATATGTATACATATATATACACACACACATATATGAATGAGAAAGGTAATGAAAGGCTTTTATTAGGGTATGAAAACACATAAAATAGGGCATACATGGAGAAGGATCCTCTTGCTTGCAAACGCAGAAGCCAACAGAGTAAGTTCGAGGACTACACAAACTCTGTCTCAAAAAACATAAGCAAATAAACAAACCAACCAACCCCTCCCCAATAATACTCCACCAAACCAGAATATCAATAATTAAATAACTGGGATAGAATATAGAATCCATGCATCTAGGAGTTATTGTATACCAAATACAAAACGTAAAGCTCAGTCTGAAGATTATCAAGTAGAATATCAAAGGCCTCAGAGGAGTGACCTAAGGAAGAAAAGATACTCAAGGTAGAAGAACACACAAACTGTAACACAAGAAGGTCTACTCAGGAAACTAACTCTAGGTCAGTGTTACAAAGCAAGCCAGCATCAGTCTGTGTCTGTGTGTCTGTCTG